TGGTCAGGTGGACAAGAGCACACAGTCAGGGAGGCTCGCTCAGGGAGGACTGGCAGGAGAATTCCTGGGCCCACGTAGAAAACTAAACATCTCAGGTCAGCATTTAGGCAAGCACATTAATGGCAAGAGTGATGGGAAAAGGCTCTTCAAAGCAAGGCGGAGAGGGACTAATGGCAGCGTGTCTTCTACTGTAACAGATATTTAGAAATCACACACACACCTTTTTTTAATCACACCTTGTATGTGCTCTATATTCCATTTTATATTGTGGCAAATATGCTTTTCCCCCTAGGAAATGTATCATGGTTTTTAGATAGACACCCAGAAGGTAGAGGGGCTGATCAGCAAGTCTGAGGTTCAACACAGAAAAAGCAGTTTGGGAAAGACACAGTCACTAGACCCTAACTTTGCTGAAGTTCATCCTTTGAGTTGATGACGTTCTTGTAAGCAACACTCATGAATGGAGATCCTTACTGAGCCACCCGCAATGAATGCATGTGACGGGCAACCCATGAGTGTTTCTTCCACCCTGGAAGCCTGGTCTTCCTCCTGGTGTCCTGCAATGGTGAGGACAGCGTGTGCAGACCGCACTGGTGAGACCCATATAACCGCAGTGGCAGGTGTTACAGTTGAGCGGGGTTATGGGTTTTTCTCTCCCTTAAACGATACGCAAATGGTTTTATAAGAATAGGAGAGGACTTAATGAAAATGCAGGCTTTCTCTAAATAAAAAGTGCCCCTCAGCCCTATTCCTATTCTATGGATGACAAGCTTCAAACCATAGTCTTCCTCAGCTAATCCCCACCACCTTTATCCCCCTCAGCAGGGGAGACACCAAGCCCGATTCTGCCAATGGCTACTGAGAAAGTTATCATCACCTACTAATCCTGGAGGATCTGAATGCAATTACATTTTTAATCTGAGGGTTTAGAATGAGAATATAAATGAAAGGCCCGGCTTCAATTCTATCCAGCATTCTAGAATTACAAGTTTAAATTTCCTTTTGAATTTTGCAGCCCTGTACAACCCAGATACACTCTAATTCACCAGTGCCCTGCGTATGAAGTGGCAGCTCCAGGTACGGTCCAGATGAGTGAACTAGCCCATCACGTCCTACGTACCAGGCTCTATGTTCATTCACCTTGTCTCAAACTACAGCAACCCCTCAAGCAGCTTGCTGGCCTATCAGTTACTACTAAACTGCCGGTAGGCGGTGGCCAGCTAAAGCCTGTAACTTTACCGCAAATGATAAATACAGCACGTGAGAGTTTCTCTAATTGCCCTGATTTGATCATGACACAATATATACATGTATTGAAGCAACATACTACATCCCATAAACTTACACAAGCACTGTGTGTCAATTAAAAAGAAAACATTTTTCTTAAAAAACACTTAGCTTCATGCCCACTTCCCACCTACTGTAATAGCAACCTTTATGTTTGCTAGCATTTCACAAAGTGTTTTCTCATGGAAATGATCAGCAATTCTAGACCAGTGTAAGCCAGAAGCCCTGAAAACAGTGGCCTCTGAGTTCCCATTGAGTTCCTCATCTCTGAACTCCAATAACAGCTATATTTGATAGTTTCATTTTGCCAAGAAGATCGATATAACACAGAGCTTTGTAATCCCCCTTCTCACAGTAGAAAATAGCTATTTTCAGCTGTCCTTCCGTAGAAGCCCCCTATGTCAGGATTTGCACATCTGTGGATAAATGAGCATGTGTCCATTTTCTAAAAACTACACTGAGTCTCTTGCCAAAATGAAGGGTGTGTTTAAACCATCAGCGACAATAACAGCAGCTCCCTATTTCTACAATTTCATTGTCTTCAAAAACCTATCTCAGGGCCGGGGATTTAGCTCAGTGGTTCCGCCACCTGCCTCACAAGCACAAGGTCCAGAGTTTGATCCATGATACCAAAAAAAAAAAAAAAAAAAAAAACCTATCTCAAAATCTTTCCAAAATTCTTTTTTTTTTAGATTAATGAGCCCTCCAGCTAATTCAAAATATAGATATATTAGTATTAGTGAGGACACAGATCATTGGAACTAGGAGAATTCTACCTCTTAAGTAACTAATAAATGCATGACAGCTCCCCCAAGATGAAAGGTAGAGAGTTAGGTTCCAAGACAAGGTGGAGGAAGTAGATTTTCTTTTATCTTTTCCAATTTGGTCAACCACAACCTATTACTTCCCATTGATTATTTTTAAATTATTTTTAAATTAAACATTAAAGATCGTTAAAAAATATCTCCAAAGATGCCTGTCATTAAGAGTGGATGTCTTGTCTCTCCTAAGTTCGAAGTCTCTCTATGTGAAAATGCAAGATGACAGGAGATGCAGGGCATAGCAGGAGCTAGTGCAGGAATGAGCAGGAATTGGGAGAGAGAAGGAACTGGTCAAAGGTCAAAGCCTGGATCCAAACACAGAAGCGGCTCTGGAAGATCCGTGTCGCTGGGAGGGCAGAGGTGCAGCCCTCCCGCAGGGTCAAATGCAAGGTACTTTTGTCCCTACAGCCACCCGACCCTGCACCGCCTTCAAAGACTCGGATGATCTTTCCACCAGCCGTAACCAGTACTGAGTAGCCTTGTTTCCTGGTTAACTCATACTCCCCCACCCTGCACCTCGAGTAACATAACGTTAGGTACACCTCCGGTTTTAGATGCAATTTTGCCTTCCCGGGGTATTTTTTAATTTTCCAGCAGTGCTTTTCCAAGTGAGATCCACTGGCAGGTCTCCTGCAGCTTTGGGATAGCAGTTTGAAAAGTAAAGCAATTGGATATTGTCCCTTTAAAATATCATTCAATTAGGTCTTTGGTAATACATACAACATAACGAGATAGCCTTCCAGAATCTAAAGGAATTGCCAGTGCATTTCATCAAAGGCACGATAATGGAAACATTGATTCACTTCTCACCACAAACAACTCCCTTTGATGCTGCAGTTAGCTTAATACTAGTACTTTTCATTTTCTCTTGAAGAAAACAGCTGCCTCAGTGCATGCCCATCAGAGGGGTTCTAGATTTAAAGAACACATTTTTATATCAATCTCAACTACACTTGCATCTTCATTTGCTACTGCATAGCATCATTCTCCTTGACTCTAAAGCACTAAATTACCCCCCAAATAAAGAAAAACTCCACTGCATCCTAGAGCACCAGAGCTGGGTATTTTATGCCATCTCTGCAAACGATACCCTCCTCGCACCATTTATCTGAAAGAAGAATGGCCAGGCACCAGTTAGAAACTATAAGGGTCCGAAGAGCATTCAGCCACTTCTAACAAAAGACGTCAACAGGAAAGCGCACCCAAGGACTAATACATCTAGAAATGTGCGGTGTGATTAGGAAAATCCATCAATACCCGCTGCCACATTTCCAAATATTTTTCCTAAGTGAAAAAGCAACCACGAAATCTGAAAGAATTCTGAAGGTGTTATATCCACAAGGGTACTTCATGAGTGATGCTTCCAAAGTTCTCACTGCTGTGAAAATGAAGGAGAAGGTTCACCCGGGATGTACACAAGGAATGCTGCATTTGGTTTGCTCTAATAAAGCCTTCCTCTGTAAAAATATGATTTAAGAGTTTGGAGCTTAACCTAAATAAATTACCATCCAACCATTTAACAACATCCAAATAATTTACTTTGTTCGAGTTAGCTTCAGAATGTCTGGCTGTATTAAGCACCTCAACTTGCAGACTATTTGACATTTGGCTAAGTCTTTCATACAATATCCACTTGAAGCCATGAAAGAAATGTATTTGCAAAGGGTTTTGCTCTGCAAATGTCATGTGGGTGTCTTCGGGGAATAGCGCTGAGCACCTGGTGCCCACACTGAGGCTCTGTGAATGAGAGATATAAAGGTTAGGTTGAAATTATTGTTTAAAGGTGCTGACATCACATACACACAAAAATTCATGATCCCATATTTAAATATATATTGAAAAGCAACTATTTTAGGATGTAAGAATCTGTTTCAATAGTGGTTGTCCTGTGTATGTCTCTATGCAAGAGTCTGCTTACAGTTTTCTGGCCCATTTCACTGACTGATTCCACAACATTATCACACAACAGTTTGGCACCTGGGTGAAGATTCTTGAGAATACAGGAAATACAATAAAGAATAATCGAGAGTTCCTTTTCTGAAGTATACATTGATCAAATATAATGGGTTCATTTCTGTTGCATTTAACCATTCAGCCACTAATTCGCCTACTAAATATTTAGAGCAAAAACCCAATGATGGAGAGGAAACGTGGATTAGGAAAAAGCAGCATTAGGATACTGCCCAGATTCTGACTTTGCAACTGGATGGATGGAAGTAGGGATTATGGGAAACAGTCAGCTATGTCGGGGCACTGTGGGGTTACAGCTGAGTCTTCTGAAGCACACAAGAGACAACGCCAAGCCCACAGCTGAACATATAGGGTTAGAGCTTATAAAGGAGGCGTTAGTGATCTGCCACATCTTCAATATGTTTTTAGAAAGTAACAATGGACTTGTCTGAGTCTCTGCATCCACTGCTAAACCGAAAGCAAGGGTATATTCCAATTGCACCAAATGAAGATAGCACGGTACGAGGGAGAACACTCCAGACTCGGACTGGGACAATACGCGTCCCAACACTGGCTCCTCCAGCGAGAGGAGGGATGACTTTGGAAGTGCACCTTAGCCTAATCTGCACCTTTGTTTACTGTAGCCACTACAATGTAATACAACTCATCGCCTCGCTTACCTCATGGAGCTGTTTTAAATAGGCTCAAGTGAGTAAAACTTTTAAAGGAAGTCACTGTAAAACTGTGAAATGATAAAATGAATTGCCCCCCAAAAGGAGAGATGCCTGCCTGCATACGGAGATACTTAAGAGTAGACAGGAAAGTTCACTGCTGCAGACGAAACCAACTTGGTAGAAATGGTGAAACATCATTGGCTTCCCTTCAAAATTTCACAAAGTGGGATGGGGTGACAAGATGCACACAAAACAGTTATTTGTTCACCTTTTGATCCAAACTGTAGGCCAGCACCCAGTCCTCTTGCTTGGGATGAAAGAGCAGGCTCTGGATGTAGAAGGTAAGCCGATACTTTTGATAGGTTGCCCCTTCATCAGAGCTGATCAATATGCTGCTCTCCATCTCCGGATCACTGAGAAGCATGATCTAATGGAAAGACAGAGGAGAAATACAGGTAGAATTAGCAGGATGGAATATAAGAAATTAAACCCTAAATATATAAAGTCATCTGTGTTAGTATATTACAGCACATAAAGGGGCAGCTAAGCCTCCATATGAAGTACCAGTCTATTGTTCTTTTTCCATATTTAGCTTTTCATTTCTGAATTAAGCTAAATGAGGTGAGGGCTAGGACTCCATGCAAAAGGACCTTCATTTTTGATGTCCACATCTGAAGTGCTGAGAGGATACTGTTATGATCCTCTGTCCTCTAACCCAGGAATGCCAGCTGCATACCAACTTCCCTCCCGCCCTCTCTCTCCTGCCCCTTAACCCTCATCACAGTTCATTAGTCAAAGGAAGGGTCAACCCCCCCCCCCATATCTCATTGTTTTGTTCTTTCTGCATTATTTTGGCAATTCTATGATTTCTTTGTATAGATGTTTTCTAAAACACATATTCTCAAATACATGAATAAATACTGCTGCCGAAAAAGGGCTGCTGGACACCAAACCAAGCCAAATAGAAAAATATACCCAGAGAGGAGGCTTTGGCATCAAATGAGCAGGTTCACATCTCAACAGTTCTCTTCCTATTGTGCCACCTCGAGAAAGTTACTTAAACTCTAGAAGCCTCAGTTTCCCCAACAATAACTTGAGTCTGATGTTACCCAAACTGGCTTTGAGCCCAGGGTGCAGTGTGTATTCTTAACACGAGATGCCTGTGATTACCACTGAGGCTTCTTCCTTCAACCAGTGCAATCTGGCTTTCTCCCACGTTACTTCCGTGACGTCTGTCCCACTAAGGAACAATGAGCTTTGCAGGGTTTAAACTCAAGTGCACACTTAGACCTGCAGGCCTCAGCCTCAGTCTTCGAGACCACGGGTTCTCTATTCCTCCAGCAGCATTTCCCTCGGGGCCTTCCATGACTGTACAGTCCACTTTTGCTTCCCATTTCTTTTGGATGCTCTCACTTTCTCTGATTTTTTAAAAAATGTGACCTTTGCACTTGCGCACCACGTGGCGAGACTACTGAGCAAAATCCCTGGCCCTCCACCCTCTTTTTACTATGTTCTCTTTTTACTCAAGAAACAGTAGCGCATTGACTCCTTTCATTTTTGTTTTAAATTACCATCATCCTGGAGACAGCTCGTAACTACTCCAAATGAGTACACACACGCACCTGCACACGCACACACATGCACACTCGCCCACGCACTTCTTAGTTTCAGACTTGAAAACTCAGCGACCTGGAAGATTCTTCTCTTTGGATATCCATAAATACCGGAATCACAAGACGCCCCCCTGGCACCTCCTTCCACGCCCTGCTGCTGCCCTGTCTGCTGGCTCTGTGATGCTCCCGCCAGCCGTCCTGTCAGCACTGCGCCTGACATTCATCCTGGCTTTGCTTTCTCGCCCCCTTCTCAAGGTCATTAGTCTGTGAGCCCTGTGCCTTTTACCTAATGAACTCCAAAGTCAAATCCCTTCTCTCCCCCTCCGTGACCCTTGCCTTAGCCCAAAACTCAACCATCTGGGCCGCTCGCTGAGACTCTCACCACTGTCACCACGTCACTCTCGTCCCCTCCAATCCACTCTGCACGCTGCATGCATTCTGTCATGTAAAACTGCTTCTGACCTTCTCCATGAAGCCCCTCAACTGACTTCCCTCTTCCAAACTCCTTGCGTGGCCTGATAAAAATCTGACCCCTTCTTGTGTTTCTGGCCTCAGCAGTCGCCCCAGCCTTTCGTACTTTATCATCCCACCCTACTCAATTTCCTTGAGTTCCTAATGCTTGCTGAATGAACACATGAGTTAATCTCCTGTTGTTATTTTTCCAGTATTTGGGTATACTGCTACCAATTGTTAGGGTGACTTCTATCACATGGGCTGAGCCATGGAGTCCAAAGTACAAAATGAAGTCAAAAAACATTTTCCCATCCCTATAAAATAAAACGACTAGCTAGTAGGGTTTAAAAAATGTTACATAGAGCAAATATTAGTATTACTATAAAGTTAGCTTTAAAACAAATTAAGCCTTTTAACTGCTAAGATTCATAGCCCTTTCCCCTTTATTTCTTCCTTCACAGCTTTCAAGACAAGCTTACTTTCCTTCTCAAATATTGGCTTTGGCTTCATTGAAATAAGTCATCATCAGTTATCAGCAAAGTTTTAAGAAATGGATGCAGTCTAATAATTTATTCATCCATGTGTGAATAATCCAGGGAAAAGCTCTTAGGTAGGTTATTCAGAGACAAAATAGCCTCCTCCTCCCGTGTACTGTGAAGGGAGAAGGGAACTCGCTAGAAGCACCCAGCCACCCTTGAGAAAGCTCAGGGGAAGGAAGCACCAGCAGTGGATGCAGAGGACGCAGAGACGTGAAGTCAGACCAGCTTCGAAAGCCAGGCCCCTGTGACTCACGCTGTGCGCTGATGGGCCACATAACAGGCCATGAAATCATTTTTCCCTCAGTGCAGAGAAATTAAACTGCTTACTTTATGCAGGGGTAAAGAAGCTTCATGCCTATGAGTTTGATTAGGAGATAAGACCAACATCATCAGTGGACTTCGTTTTATATGACATGAGTTACAATATACCATGGGGTTACTACTAAATATGGCACCAATATATTCTCTTCCTCCAGCTGTTCCTTTGTGTGTGTGCATGCACAAGCACATTCGCATGCACAAACACACCAGCCCACATACAAACCCCACACAAAAATGTGCACATACATGCTAACATACACAGATGTTGAATGCACGTGTGTGCACACATGCAGAAATGGATTTATATATAATAAGACAGCATATTGACATTGCATGGCAGTTCTGTAAGGTGTGTGTTTGTGAGAGTACATTTTTATTGCAACCTTTCTCTGACATTCTCATCAGAAATCCTTTTATATACTTTGATATCACTGGCAATATCTATTCAATCCTACTTTCTGGGGAGAATAAAAAGAAGAGAAATAGAAACCTACATATTCTGGATTTTTAACCTGCACTAAGTACTTTACCCGATATTTTATACAAGCCTCATACTAATCACATGTAGTATTGCTACTTGCATTTTACAGATAAAGAAACTGAGGCTCAGGAGGAAAGCAATTTTCCTATTACTCCTCTGATTGAGTCAAAACCCACCTACACACCACACACAAACATACACACCCAAACACACACACACACAGAGATACTTTTTAAAAGTGTCTCTATAAGAAATCCACAGAAAAGGAGCATCAAGAAAGCCCTTTTCCTCCTCTGACTCACTATGTCTGATCAAGGAGACATCAAGAATTAAATAATAGGACTCAAAGAGGGAAATTCAATGTTGTTAGTGTTGAAAAAGTAGGGGACCTCAATATTAATACAAATACTGTATAATAAGACAGCAAAAGCTTTGTCACAAGTTAAGCCTTAAGATAAAATATGTCTTGTACATTAATATACCAAATACATACAGAAAATCATCTCTTGCACACCCCAATTTTTATTGTTAAGCAGGGATTTCCATTCCAACACCTATGGGCCCAAAGCAGTTAAAAGTAAGCAAGTGAAGCAGCTAAGGAAGGCAACCAGTGGTGAGGACCCGCCAAACTGAGAAGCATCATGGCTCCTCCAGCCAGTCAGAGTGGGATTTTTAAAAATGTGCCCCAATCAAGTATATCTGGACACCAAGCATTTACAGGCTAGGCGTGTCACTGTTGGTAACATTACGATAGCTTGTTTCTACAAAAATGAATTTACAGTTCATTCCTTTCAGTGTTTAATTGTTGGGTGTGCAATCCATGGAAACGGCTGTGTGGATGTTTGGGAGTTGTACCCTAGCATGGTTTTGACAATATGAAGGGGACAGAAATGCCAAAGGAGGTTTCTGGTTTGCTTTGTTCTGCTTTGGCTTCATTCTGCTTTGATCCATCGTCCGGCCTGTCCTGTCCTAAGATGTGCAGTGGCTGTATGCGTCTTGTGAAAGGACAGGAGAGCACTTCACAAAGGAGTTAGCAGGTTATTAATGGCACAGACTCTAGGTGCAGACATCTTGAATTCATATCCTCTGGCTGCCACTTTATGAGTAAACATGAGGAAGTGACTCAATTTCTCCAAGTCTGCTGTCACCTCTGGGAGAAAGACAGCAGTTGTACTACCCGCACCCTCTTGTTGAAAGGAGTAAACAGGATCATGATAAATAGGCTTAGCTCAGTTTCCGGGCACAGAGCTGCTAAATACAGGTCGACCTTTATCTTTAAATCACCCAAGATGAGAGCACAACTAAAGCCGGAAGAAAGGCCAAGCAAGCTGGAGACAAATGGAGGCGATTTGAGGACTATTTGCCTCCCTCTTGACTCCAATCATTCCTGAGCTTTGGGGATGAAAACCAAAGCAGTAGAGGTGCTGTTGAACAGGTAAAATGTTTCAATCCTGCAGCATAAAAATGTTCTAGAGATCTATTGAGTGGTAGTGTGCATATACTTCACAATACTGCATGTCCACATGAAAGTCAAGAAAGATACACCTCATTTGTATATACGTGTGGGTTCAATACAATTAAAAAATAACTTTAAAAAGTACACGGAGAAGATACATTTTATATTTTACATTAATTTATCTGTACTTTGCAGTCATGGCAATATTGGGTAAGAACACTGCACCGGTCAGGAGCAACACCAGCAGAGTAAACAGCAGACAGCAGGCCACTGCCGATTTGCTGAGTAGAGCTGGTGCTCTGAATGATCACTCACTTCTCTCTGCTGGGAGAGTCTAAACAGTGACGGAACTAAACACACCACTGCCTCGGGGACACAGGTCTCACACAGTCTGCGTGTAGCTGGGTCCCCGACTAGAACTAGACAAGCTTTGGACAAGCTGGCAATTCTCTATGCAGAATTCTTTCTGCAGAAAAAAAGAGATTTTGGTAATTCTTGTAATTCTTTTGCAGAAAATCCCTGGTGAAGTTGAGTAACAGCAGTCCTGATTTTAACAATGTATTC